TTCGTAATCAATTGCAACCAACAATTATAAACATTCCACTATTAATTGTATAGCCATGAATTGTTTACAATATACATAGCAAGAAATAAAAAAATTGTCCCAAGTGTCCTAGAAAAAATAATAATCAATTTGTTATTTTCAACAACTCTTCAAAACTTGTTTCTTCACTTGAGAAGAAGAGAGTAGATTAGCTATTGTTGGAATGAAATTGTACGATGAAATTCTTGAATCATTAAGGAGGAGACATAATTGAGTGATAAATATGGGAGGGGAGAGTTAAGAGATAGTGGTTCATTTGGAGTGAAAGAGTTAATTAAACAGATAATTAATCAATCTTAGTTTTAAGGTATATGGGTATCTAATAATCTAATTGTATCTTCAAATAATATATTAATATATGGTTTAAAATATTAAAAGTGGTAATATATGTTATTGTTTGAAAGTAAAGATAATATTAGTATATATAGTAGTGATGTATGTCTAATAAGGTAGTTTATCCTAAATATTAACCATGATCGAGACTATTGTATAATATAATTAAATAAATCGTGCCATTAGTTTGTGTTATTTTATTATATAAAATAAACAGGGATGTGGGAAAATGGAAAGGAATCAAATTCGTTTTGTTCTGCCATGCATGATATTTGGAGGCTTAAAATATATTTTTAAAAGGCATATATGTTGTTATCAAACAAATCAATAAAATGATAATATTACGTAACAAACATATGCACTAATTTATTTTACATTACATGTAAATATCATTATTTTATTATTTTTTTAAAAAGATAAATAGAAGAAGATTGGCTTGAAGTGGGACCTGAAATTAGTAGACTTTGTCAATTAGCTTTTGGTTTAGCAAAGCTTAAATAAAAATTTAAAAATATTTTTTCGGGAATATAGTTGAATTTTATTAAAAACAACTACGTATCTGAATACGATTTCAATTTAGCGGTGTCGACATGGTAAATAATGGTGGGTAATATATAATCTCTAATCAATATGTGTAACATCATATTGTCCATACTGACGAATAATAGATGAGTTACATACAATTTTTTATTCATCAATGAAAATGATGTTCTATATTTTCATTTTTCGTATTTATGAATCTGAGAAGTGAATTAAAAATAAATTAATACTAAATGATTTATCTCAAATTTAGCACAATAAAATTGTGCTCGGTGGTACGTAAACAAAAAACTGTCAAACGGCTACTCATCCGCTTAGCTAACCTAAAGAATCAAGCAGAACATCTTAGAACTTATTTAAATGTGCTTATAACTTTTGATAGTATTTTTATTTTTTTAACTTAAAAATAAATATTTAAAAATTATTCAAACTTAAAAGCATTAATAATTAAGTTAATAAACTCAGAAAAAAGAGTCACACCCATATGATATTATTTTCACTTTTTTTTTCTTATTATATATCATCCTCGATTTTTATTTTTTTTAAAAATGTCTCTTACTTTCTTTTCTTTTCCAATATTCATCTTTTTAATTTCTTAAATTCACATATATTATCGTTTAATCAGTGATTGGTGAAAAATCATTTTCTTTCTCTAGTAAAAAGAAAACTTTAAAGTCACTAAATTTTGATAGAATAACAAAACAATGATGGCAAGAGTTGGTAAACGGTGATCAGTGACTTTTTCCATCTATTTTTTTTCCTTTGTTGGTGAAGTAATAAAATAAGATAAAATGACGTCAAATAGCAACTCCACTTTGACTTTCTTATAACCCTTTAATATAGAATCTAAAGCATAATTACTATACATTTTAAACTAATATTTCTTTTAGTATATGGTGGTATCGAAATAAACAACGACATCAATTATAATGATTTGTTACAATAAAAAAGAGAATATATTAGATGTGCCTAATTGGATGAAGATTTTGAATTAGATATTCCAAGTCCAGCTAACAATGTTAAGTTTTGTAGGTAAGTTCACCAAGAATTTTTTTTTAGAAGTATATAAAATAATAAAGCTTGAGAGACTTCTTTGGTCAAATTTGTTCCCTATTTCAATTTTTTCAAAAAATAAAATAAAATTGAAGTTCTTTTTCATTTATGATCATTTTTTTGGAGGATTAATTAATCTTTTTCAAATGAAACAAAAAACAATTGTCATAACAGTCTATGTTATAGTCTTTCTTCAGTTTTTTACCGTTTGACTCTCGGAAAATGAAAAATACAACTAAAATTAGGGTAGGGCTTGGCAGGGTGATATAGGACGAGCCTTGACCCGCTAAAATTTTGACCCACCTGTCCTATGTAACCTTTTTTCATTATTTTGCCTCGCTCCACCTTGTTCAGTCTAGATCTGCCCCCGTAGTGTGTCCTGCCTTGCCCTACCCTAACCTTAATAATACTGCCTCAATGACAAAATAGTTAGAATTATTGGGGTGTTTTACACCCTTTAAGAAAAAAAAATATATGACATAAGTTAGATATTACTTTTCATTTTTGCCTTTATTAATTATCGTCAAATTAATCTTTAGAATAATTCAAAACATTTAAAGTTTTTGAACGCATTACATAGAAAATTCAAATGAAGGGTAAAACTGAAAGAATATTCTAAAAGTAGTATTGAAGATTGAACAATTAAATTAATTTGAAATATGAAAAATGTCTCAACAATTCAATTATTTTTAAACGGAGGGAGTAGTAAATTGATAAAGCCTTTTGACATTTTCCCCCTTTAAATGAATATAATATTCTCAGAGTTATACTTATGGGAGGATAATATATTTCGTATGGCTAAGTCAGAGGTGGTGGCTGGTTAGGTGCTTACCGGTGATTAGATTAAATTAAAGACACTGATTAAGCAAAATGAAACTAATAATATAGTAATATAATATAATATTATAAAAGCCTCAAGTTGAGTTTTCAAACATATGTTTGTCTGTTGGTAGAATTTACTTAAGCGAAAAGTCTTATCGAAAATATTTTTATTTTATTTTCATAAGATAAAAATAAAATTGTGTAGATATTATTTTTTTCAGACCTTACTTATAAAATTATATTGAATTTGTTATTATTGTTGTTCACAATTTTTTTTTACGTGGCACGAATATAAGAGGACTTGTAGTTATTACTAACAAACCTTGTTTATGATAACCAACAAACATTGATGTATTAGAAACAGTAAGTCAGAAAATAGATGAAGCATGAAAAAAAATTGAACTCACAATTTGTTAGTATCTTTAAAAAATTTAATCATGTCACTATTATTCAAGGTTTATGGATTAGTCGTTCCTCTCATGGTAACACGAAAATCTATTCTGTAAGCTCAATTTACAAAACCTAAACGAATTTAATTGGTGGAGCAAATCACACACTATATACTAATGTTTTTGCTTTTAAAAATGATGAAGAATGTTGTGAAAAAAGGGGAGACAAGTGCAGACATAAAGGCAGTGTCTGTTCGAATGGTATCATTCATAAAGTCTCACGTGAAATAAATTTGATACAAAAATATATTAATCAGAAGATTTGATCAAATCCAAAGTCTAGTGTGAGGAAAAACTTTCTTTATGAGCTAAGCTAGAAGATATGCTTTAAATTTTGTCCAATACATATATATAACTTATAAGCACAAATACTCTCATTTCCCAATTTCATTGTCCAATTCATACTTTAAATTTTATTTTTAAAAAAAACCAACAATTTGTTACACTTAACCAGTACTATGAGAGTTAATAAAAAAGTTATAGCTGTCTGTAATTGTTATCGGTGTATATTGAATGTATAACAAGTATTTAATTAGTATATAATTGGTGTATAACATATACATGCTATCTATACATAGATTATATAGTGAATATATTCGCTAAGATTGTGGGGTTATTGTGTTGTGTAAAAATCTTGAAATTTTCGCATGTTGTCCTTTTTGAATTTCAGGACATTTGTTTAGTAAATGAAACTCTTTTTTAGTTCTCTTGCTACTTATAGATTAGTTTGGATCATGATCCTAAAAATTCTTTGAGCTAGCAAATTGAAATTCTTAAAAAATGTTAGACCAGATTTAAGAGTTTTATAAGTTATTGCAAACGTTAAACGGTAGTCTTATGTTTTGACGGTAAGGTTGAGCAATATTTGAGCAACATTATAACGATTCTAATCTTATCCGGCAGAGTAACTTCCCAAAATCTCATTTTGTATTTTGAGTTTATTGCCCTTTTTGCTGTTTGAACATCCCTCATCCTTATCAGCCTTGTTACACAGTACAAGTAAAACTGTCTCCGTGTACCGACTGTGCTTAGACAATTTCTCCATACCGTAGGGAGACTTGGAGCAACATGAAAGTTGTTTCGTATTATCTATTACTTAGGTTCGAGCTTTGGAATCAGTTGTTTGAATCCATATATATAAGCAAACAAGGTACAGCTCAAACTATATTCATACTGGAATTGACTCTGACATAGTGCAGGTCTAATAGCAAAATGTTTCAGATAACATTTCTAAGGCACACCAGACATACATATAACTAATTTAGATGTTAGTGATATTTGTGAGTATATTAAGAATTGAACCAGTGTGCCATGCACCCACATCAACTGAGTGTTGTGACCACAACAGCCATTGCCTTTTTCTTTGTGTGTGTATTCGTCTCCAAAACTATGGGTAAAACTAGTAAACCGACCTGTAGATTGGCTGAACATCACTCCACCATCTCAATAGCTCTGATACTAGTTGTTGGACTAAAACAGGTCAAAGATATTCTTAACATGATGTAGTCATGATATTGTCTATTTGGATCAAATTCGGCACATTTTTCCATGAAAAATCTCACCCCATTAAAACTTAAAAAGTATCACTGTACCTTATATATAGGACATTATTCGCATACCCAACAATACAATATACATATTATGGTCAAATGCAAGTCGTCAGTATATATAATCACTTCTACTTGTAGCAAGTCACATAACGAATTTCTTTCGAGTTCATTGACAATCAACCAGAAAGAGCTGTGTATGTTAAAGAAGAGAAAAGGGGGACATCTTATTGCTGTTATGCAAAACAGCCCAAAAAGGTTGAAACTTTGAGTAAAAAGATTGACAATCTAGATGAATGAATTTATGTTCTTTTGCCTTTAAAATAAGTAGTAGAAAAATGTTACTGCTTTTGTGACTGAAACTCTGTTGCTTTTGTGACTAACGCACTTCTAATAGAACATGCTACACTTTTACTTTCACCGAGATTCAAAGAACTCTTGCATTTGTCAGATGAATAATCATTCAAATCCTCACAAAATGCTGAATAATCATCCCTTGATAACAACATATTATGAAGTATCGAACAAGCACCAATAGAAGCCACAACAGTCTTGATTTCTCCTTCAATCGGTTCGCGCAAAACGCCCCAATTTCTCAAGCTCTGAACGGCTATAACTGATGGCAAACGCATTACGTTGATTGCATTGTTGAAGTTCTCTTCATTTGATTGAGAAACAGGATCATCAAATGGTAACATTAACCAATTTAACAAAGGATAGTCTCCATTCCCAACTAAAAACTGAGGCACAACCACTCCATTTATCTCCAAACCTTGTGAATTCCTAAAAATTGTTCCTTTTTCAATATCTTGGAACAGAGTTGATGAATTTAAGACCTGGAAATCAGTTTTATCACCGCGAAAACCGGCTATAATACTAATAATTCTGGATGATGAATCAACCACTAATTGAGCTGCTATACTCTCGTCATTAACCTTAAATCTTACGCAACAGAGTACTCCACAGCAATTAGGAATACCCGAAATCGACTCAAATCGATTCGAAACAGACTCAAGCTCACCCGAATTCAAAAACCCAACCCAGAACCGGAAATTAGTACAGAGCACCCTACACAATTGTTTGAAACAAAACTTAGCAACAGATTCCGATACACTAAATCTCCGAGAAATATCGGAGAAATTAGCTCCGGTAGCCAATCGGAAAAGCCCAATTCCAAGCCTAGTTTCCGCAGCGAGATTAAGTGGCGAGTCAACCGGGTCACGACACTCTAACAGAGGCTCTAATAACCCACAAAGCCAATCAAAAGTAGAAGAATTGATATTGAAGAATTTCTTGAAACAATCCGGGTTACGTCGGATAAACGAGTCGGGTCTACCCAGTTTGAACCGGGTCAAACCCTCGCCGGCCGGGACATCAGATTCTGAGAAATAGGTACGTTTTCGTTTACAACGCGAAAAGGGGATGAGTGAAAGAGTAGCGGATGTTTCAGAAACAGAGAGAAAATGGAGAAGAAGAGGTGTAAGAAAATCAGATAAAGAAGAATTAGTTATAGAAAGAGGATTTGATGAAGGGAAAATGACTGTAATTAGAAGGAGTAATTGAGCAATTAGAGAAGAAAGCATAGCAGCCAAATTTCGAGGATTCATATTTGTTGTTGTTTGTGTATCAGTGAGTGATAGTTTTTTGCTTTTTGTTTTGTCAGGTTTTCTTGATTTCAGAGCAAATCAAAAAGGGCTTTGCTCTGACAATCTGATGAATCTATTATATCTCAATTCGTTGACAAAAGTACAACATAAATTGCGTTTTCAACTTATCACAATTATACACGTGCCTCTTCTTTTTTTTCTTATTTGGGGAAAAATTATTCAAGAAATATTCCAAATTCCTAAAGTTTCTTATAAGAGGAGAGTAAATTTATTGATCTTACCATTCGAGCAAATATATACCTATTTAGTGCGATTGAGAATAATAAAAGAATTTACTCAAAATTCCTAATTCCTAAAGTTCCTTATTTTTACTTATTTATTATTTAGTAACTTTCGCATATAGCCACTCAAAAATAAACTAATTACGCTCCATAACTATAGTTTGTTAATTACGATTCGTAGGGAGGAGAGTGGCGAGCGAGACTGGGAGAGGGAGGAGAGAGGGCAGAGAGTGGGAGAGAGGTGAATTGTATATGAATATCGGTTAGATTATTGTATATTATACATATGTATTTGTATATTCTGGCGAGAGAAATTGAGAAAGGGGAGAGAGAGGCGAGCGAGATTGGGAGAGGGAGGAGAAAGGCGAGCGAGAGAGGACAATAATTTGTATAATTCACATGTATGATTGTATAATTCACGTGTTTTTGAATAATTGGGTAATATAAAGTCTGAAATTATACAAATATAATAAACTCGAAATAACTAATTGATACAAACATAAACGTATGCGATAAGAACTTTAAACAATTACACAAAATATATTATACAAATTACATTATATAAATTATATTATACAAAATCCAAAAACTACATGTTTATACAAACTTTAAAAAGTTATACACAAAAAGATTGAATGTATATGATGACAAAATTGAAATATCAAATGAAATCATCGTCATATACAAATATAAACAATCATATACAAATACAAATCAAACAAATAATTGTTAGGTGCGAATTATACAAATGTGGCGAATTATACATATACAAACGTGGCTAATTATGCAAACTCGAAGTCAGCCCACATAATTAATGTATAATGTTAGCCGCGAGTGGTAATTATAACAAACTATAACTATGATGAGTAATTTAGTATAAGTTTGCTTAACCGCATAATTTTCCCTTTATTATTTTAAAAATAGATTATTCTTTTTTTACTTTATCATTTTTGACTAGAAAAGATAATTACGATTTTTTTTTCCTGTTATCTTTAGCATTAATTATTTATTTTCCAAATCATATTTCAAGTAATACTCCCTCTATACCTTTTTACTTGTCCAATTTTGATTTTTTGCTTATCATTTTTGACAAATCAAGAAAAGAAAAATATTATTTATCTATTATACTCTCAATTTATTTAGAGAGTTAATGTTTTTTTGCAAAAGGTAGAACCTCTTTAATGAATAAATCGATTTTGGAATTCTATCAATTAATAGAGGTAAAACGATAAACTCACTATGTCAATTTTTTTAATAAGTGTATCAATTCAAAAATTGACAAGTAAATATGGACAGAGAAAGTACTAAACATCAATTAATAGGGGTAGTATGATAAAATAAAAATGTCAATTATTGTTTTCTTAGTACGTACATGAAAGGCAAATATGACAAATAAAAATGGGGGAGAAACGTAGTATTTGGAATTTGGATAACTCATTTTATTCTGAGCTTGTCAATGTGTGTTTTTTAATTTGTCAAAATTAAGGATAAATTTATGTGAAATTATAATGAAAAAGGTATATCTGAACCAACATTATAACTGAAGAAATATATTTGAATTAAAAAATATAAAAAAGAATATGTTTAAACTATTTAGTATAATATTATACTTAATAGTATATTTAATCATTTTCCGTATAATCAATATGATTCCACTTTCGTTTCTATAGATTTTAGCATAACCAAATTTAAACGCCTTAAATTCCATTTTTATAAGAAAATTTTACTTATTAATTGGAGAGAAAAAGGAAACTAAGGGCGGAAATATCTTTTTTTTAGGACTCATGAATATTTTCACACAAAGGGAAGATACCCCAAGATTTTCATTCCATTTTCAATTGAAGAAAAAATTCAAATTTACCCCTAGACAATTTCTTATATCTTACTTTTACTCTGTATGCTTTTGTAATACTTTCTCAATAAATATATTTATTAAGGACCATCTATTAGAACGACTTTACGAAAGTATTTAACTAAAACCAAATCTCCACTTATGGTTTGGACCATTTTTGCAACTACTTTTAGTTTTTGATGTTGGTCCTCCACTTGTGCATTTTAATTTAATTCCTGCTACATGGGAGGCCATCAAGCAAACTGTATTAATTTATGTGATAATATTTGAATGAGCATAAATTAATTAATTTTTTTATATATATAAAAAAGATTGTGGTTGAAAACAAATTATAATATTTATATAGCTATAAATTATCTTATTAAAAATAAAATATTTTTTTCAAAACTAAATAATTGAATACTAAATATAAAAAAAAAACAGCATTCCTTTTTATACTAAAAAAATAAAAAAATGAGACATGAATTGAGAATATAAAATACAAACATAATGTTACACTTGATTCGGATGTTAAATATAGTCAAACTTATCCGAAATCCAATTAGCACTAAAGAGTAAAGACACAAAAAGTAGATGCAAAAACAAAAATTCCAAGTTTGTGTTATTAAATTATGAAACAGAGGATTTAATAGATCAGTAGATCGATTATTTAAATTTTTATTTTGATGATGAACATTAAATTTCGGCCTTGCAATTTTCATTTTCCCTTTTCCGAGCCCCAATTTTGATAAAATCATATAAAAAAATAGAAATATATTTCTTAAAAAATATATGAAAGAGGTCAAAGACCAAAAAACTTGTCTAACTTGAGCCTTTTAACATGGAAATGCATCTCCCTCTTCTTCCGAGTCCGGAGCTAATGGGGCAAAAAAAAATTGTCAAAAATTTCAAAAGGGCACATCAAATTTTTTTAAAATCAAAAGGGTAAAATCGCTCCTGACGAAGGAATTTCCCTCTGACACAATGACGAAAAATCGCTGCCCTAGCAGTAATTTTGTCTAAAAACTTTTTTTCTTTTTTTTTTCATTAAAAATCGCTGCCACTTAAGTCATAATTATTTTTTTTCCTTACACATCGCTGCAGGGGGAGCACTTTTCATGCCTAGTGCTATTATATTCATGCCTATTGTTAATTATTAATAATATAAAAATGATAAACAAGACGGACAGTATACTCAATAAAATTGTTGAAGCATGAGGAAAATTGAATTATATATCATAAATAATAATAAAAGAATATTAAATTTTAAAAAAAAAACTTTTTTTAAAAAATTCTTAACGCCAGCGATTTTGAAGAAAAAAAGATTTTTTTTAACGTACGACAACTTTTGTCAGAAAAAAACCGCTCTTGACGGAGCAATTTTACCCTTTTGGTTAATTTTTTTTTGATATGCCGTTTTAATTTTTTGAAAGAAAAAAGTTTCCTTTTTGGCTTTGGACTCCTCTTCTTCCTATCATAATTTAGTTCAATATATTAAGTTTCGGTGCTCTAGTCAATATCCACTTTTAATTTCCAAAAAAACATAATTAAAGGTAGCTGCTATTCCTTTTTTTGAGAGCTCACATCTTTTTATTTTTTTGATTATTTGAACCCACAATCTTATATATATGAAAATAAAAGGTGTTTATCATTTAAGCATTTGTTTTTTATTTTTTTACGAGACATGATCAATACAAAATATACTCTAAAATAAATCTTTGTCGTGTTAAAAATAATATAGAAATATATTGTCTCCACATGAAATGATTCAAACAATGTTTAAGTGATTATTAGCTTTAACACTATTCAGTAGAATTAATTCTATAGATTGAGTTACAAACAACAAGTAATCGACTAAATTGTAAACATGTGAAATTGAATATGGAAAAACTAAGAGTTGAGCACCGATAATTAGTTATCAATGGGAGAAGTAAAGGCAATTGATAATTTTATGTTATTTTCTAAGAAACACTTTAGATTATAATTATGTCTGGTTGAGACTAAAGAAATATTTGAAGCACACTCAAAAAATGTTTGTATGAAGATTTTATTAAAAAAACTAAAAAATGAGAAAAATTGAGGTTAAAAAAAATGACTTTTGTTGGTTTAAGTTGATTTGATTTATAGAATTAAAAATTCTATACAACTAGCTTGATTTGATATTTTAAAACTCAAATCAACACGATCGGTATGACACATGTACCTCTAATTACGATAAACTTTTAATCCAAACTCGCATATTGAATCAATTGATGATTGCAAACTCAATGATTTGTATTCTCACCCCGTCAATTTTTTATTTATTTATTTTTAAATTATTTTTGAAAAATATTTGTTTCATTTTTTATGTCACTCCTACCCCATCCCCTAGCCGCCACCCCTACCCAGGCCATCCTCGTCAATTTTTTTTAATGGTGGATTTGTGGAAAATTGATTTGAGAGTGAAAAAATCAAAGGCTAAGAATTTGATGAGTGTGTAGACAAATTGTAGAGCATCCATTTTAATGGAGCTTCGGTAAATTTTGAATCTTCCAAGAGGTTGAGGAAAAGTTAGAGTTTGAGTTTTACCCTAACTCACACTCTTTGAGAGGAAGATATTTATTTTAATTAAAAACTAATTTTGAAGTTTAAATGTAGAGATAATTAATGAATCCTAGTTTTAAGAGATATGGATTGATTGTATCTTCAATAATACATGATATAAAATATTAAAAGTGGTAATATAATGTATATCTAAAAAATGCATATAATTATTATATTTTAATTAATAAATTGAAATTAAGAAGAAAAAAAATATTATCATACTTATTTATTATTTAAGGTAAATTTTATTTAAAAAGAAACAAGAATAAAATTCCTTAAAAGTTATATTGTTGTTAGAAATAAATTGTGTTTAAGAAAAGAAATAATATAATATATATTAGGAAAAAAAGCACTTTGACTCATTGAAATAACAATTACTAAGTTTTTTTTT